CCCCAATCACACCCAAGCATTCTGAATCCGTACGAACAGTCACACATACAAACATCCATACACATAACAGTTAAAGAACTGTGAATCAGCACTCGCTACAGAACCAGCCGCGCACTCACGCAATCACCCCATACAATTTCACTTACACAAAAAGTTTTTCCATATTGACTCATTGTTTGAGTTCGTTTTACTCATGGTATCGACACCAATGACTATGGGTTCCGATGACCACTTAACATTAGGTGACCTGTGACACCGTGGCCTTCAAGTGCGTTAATGCGTATTCTATTTATTATTTGTTAGTAATTTGATTTTATTATAATTTAGTATTTTTCAGACTTAAAATAATTTCACCCAGAACATTCTTGTCAGTTTATTTTTATTTTAAGAAACTATTTGCGTGTACGCTCTGCACGAATGAATCTCTTTTCACCGACTTACCTAGCATGTTAGGGAACTCAACCCTCCAGATATTCTCAGGAGAATACAGGTATTCGACCAATTACTGCTTCTCTGTGATCTGACCGCAGTATCAAGATCCTCAACTGATTTCTTTTTTAATTCATAAACAACTGGTTCCTCAGCACTCAGTTGTATGCTACTAAGCTTGCAAGGATGTTTATCATTATCCTGTCTACCGCGATCGTGCAGTGCCATCTTGGGTCTTGAACTCCCACAGACACAGCCCACTGAGTTTCTCGCCGGATCTTCTCAGTGGGTCGCGTTTTCGATCCGGTGGTAGATTCTGCGAAGCACTGCTCTTGCTAGGGCCAGTGTTAGCACCACTCCGGTTTGAGCCCCATGAGCTCGCCTACACGTTAGGGTGAAGCTGATATAGCCTCTCAAGGCTATCAGCACAGGTAGAAAAAAAAAAGCGCCTTGAAGTGTCCAGCCGGCATCACAGTGTAGTGCCAATGTGTTCCGGTAACCGCTTCCTATCAAGTGAATCGCGAGATAATCTGTCGCTCGCAGTTAGTTAAAAAGAGATCTTATTAAAAGAAAGAACGTAAAATAAAAATAAAAAAATTGTAAGAGATGCAGAATCTGAGCCTTAACCTATTTGAATGGGCATGCGTGAAAATGAGTTTTAATGGTTCAGCCGGTGTCCGCAGAGTATTGTATTGTATCATTAAAATATTATGTGATATCATCTGATTGTTTTCGTTTCCAGCTTGACGGTCAGCTGGGTGTCGCTAGTTCTATAGACACAACATTACTCACGTAATCAAAGTTAATGACCACACGTTTCAAGTACCTCCTCCTTAACCACGGATGTTTCGCATGTCTTTAAAAATATTTATTACAGTCTAATTTACTGGCGTGCCTCACCGAATTACAATGAAAGGTATGTGATCGTTAACATTTATAATGTAGCTGTCGCGATAATTCAGATTACGATTGAGATATTCCAAAACCTGCAACTCTTAACATATGAACCTAATTAATTTCAGATTAAATCTCCATGTAGCCTACGAATTTATATTGGGAACAGATTTAATCACAATTACCCCTACAATAAACCGATTGATTATAAGGCTTACGTTTCTAACATTGGTTACAATTTGTTATAATTATTCTAGGCGAGTAACTAGATTTATAGTTTAAATAGTTTTGTTAGGATATTTTTTTGATTTTTGTTATTTTAGTTTGGGACGAATTTCGAGAAGTTTAACAGGAAAGGGGGCGACAACGACAAGCTATGTTCTAACATGCAGACAACATCAACGCTGTTGTTTGTATGGCAATCGACGTCGCTTTTTTGTCAACACTAAAGGCTTCGTCAAACAGGACGCGTAATTAGCGCGCGTCATAGCGCGGCGTCAGTTTAGCGCTCTGACGCGCGCTAATAACGCGTTCTGTTTGACGAAGCCTTAAGAACGTTATTTCAGGAACGATCACACGACACCACAACGGTGTGGTTACGGTTATGTAAATCATCAAATGCACAGGTGCTTTAGTTACATAATATCGTTTCGCAAACGCGCTGTAATTCAGTGCATGTGAACGCACCTTTTCAACAAGATCCCACAATTTTTTTAATATCATAATATATTCAAAAATTTCAGAAAACTTAAGAAAAATTTCAGCAAAAATGCTTATTACGAAGATTTTTTACCACATATCAATTGTGATCGAGACCTTTGCATAATTTTATGGGATAACTTTTTTATACAAATTATCGTTACGTTAATAAGGACATTAAAAAGTACAAGTTTAGCTATTTTAGAACCTGCGGTACAGTATACCTTATGCTGACATCTAGGAAGCATGAATAACGACAACATCGTGTCGTGTGATCCTCCTTACCGAAGCACTAACTTCAAGATCTGATGCTAATTATTGACAGGTTAGCGATGCCGGTCATCATACAGAAGAACAGCTCAAAAGGTAATCCGTATAATTTTATTCATGATACATTTTTCACAACCTGTTGAGATGCTCTTACTAACTAGTTATATCCTAGAAACGTGAACATTAACTAATAACAGAAACTCAACCGATTAATATATCTGGTATTCAATATAAATACTCTGCGGAACTCGACTGCCGAATGATCCCTTAAAATAATAGCATTACGCCTAATCCTATAGCCACCTCTAATCTTATATCGAAATCTATAGAAGACGAATTCATGCAATAGTTTTAAACATTATTATTTATCAGTTAACGGGAATGAAAACAGCACCTCTATTCACTGGTTATATTATATATAAAATACATGGAAAAACGCGACAGATATGGGTAATTTATATCCCATTATAAGCCGAAATAAGTGCGGCATTAGGCCTATAATAGAGAACCTACAAATAATAGCTATTCACTAGTTAAATGAATCGAGGTGCTGTTTCCTCATTTAAGGTTATCTCTACGAATAGGTATGCCTATTAGGGTTAGTAGCAGTAGTAGGTAGCCTAGTAGGGTGCCTATATCGTAAACACATACTTATTGTTATAGTGATGTACCGTTATAATTATTATACTGAAAATGCATATTATTAAACTAACGATAGCGATAAGTTTAGTTATAGGAAATCAGAGGGAGTAATCTGGCTAGAATCGATCTAAGGTCATTGCAAATCCGAACACATTCGGTTCTCACTCTAACAGCAGCTTTTTGCGTTATCCAAATAAACTCATTACGTTAGTTGTAGATATATATATATATATATATCTCTCTCTCTCTCTTATAAAAATTCGATTTGCGACCGAATTGTCACAGGTGCGATGACCTATCACGAGACTTGCTTTGTGGAAGAAAACAAGAAGCAAAGGGGGCCAAATAATGGCCTAGAGACATACGCCTCAAAAGTATACACCCTTAACATTTAAAACAGGTTTAAAAAAATAGGAGTTAGACTTTGGATATACTAATCGCTCGGGAACAATTCAAGGTTCGAAATAGAAAACTAACTACGCGTATTTTATAGTTCACTTATAACTAACTACTAGAGTATTTTTATGAGATTACAAATATATTAATACTATATAATAATATATGCCCTTAAAATGTTAATAGAATTATTCGAAGACTGTCTTGTTCCCGAACGATGATACATTATTTAAATACGTGGAAGATCTAAGTATAGCGGTCAGGTGGTTTTGTGAAATTTCTAACGCGTATTCAAATATTGTTTCTAACTAAGGGTTAGGCCAAAACGGCGGTAGATAGGTGGTGTTAGCACTAGCCAAGGGGCGCCTAGGATAGATAGAATGAAAGAAGACGACGCCGGTGCATCTATTGACACCAATTAATGACTAGAATATGAATATCCCTAAATACGCTTAATAAATGCCAGATATGGGGCGTTGACCCATTGGCGACAAATAGGCTTCCGGACCGCTTAATTATATAATTTTTTAAAAAACTAGACTAAAAGCATTGTTTTCATGCATTCCTATCTACTTTTTATTTGTCAGTCAGAAACCTATTTTGTTCTCCTTAGCTGCGTCATCGATTATCATAAACTTACACCCTAAGACACGTTTAAAATATCTATTAATAATTGAAATGCACGTATGCGTACAGCGCGTGCCTAATTCAAAACATTCCTAAAATCCTAATACTGTTTTAATACTGCCCGTTTTCATTATTCCATATCACTATCCAGTCTGTTCGAATCCGAGCTCATTTTTACACACCTCGGGCGTCTACCTAACGATATGCTCCTAGAGATTACATAATAGCCTATTAAATTTAAAAGAAGCTCATACGGTACAGCATTGTAGAATCCGGTTATAAACATTTTTCGGTCCGTGTTTAACGGTTAGCCGGGGGCTTGTATCCGTGGGTCATGCGTTCGAGGAAGCGGTGTAGGTCGTGGAAGCGGGGTCGCTGTATCGGTTCACGGCGCCAGCACTCATGCATGAGGTCGTAAAGCTCACGACGGCAGCGCGGTGGGGGGGCAGCCGGTACCCGGGCATTGCGTCCTCCGCAGCGCCACTCGCTGGCATTGCCGACAACCTGCGAGGAAACGCGGGTGACTATAAATCCGAAGCACATACATATCAGTAACAGGTCCCTACGGCTGTTCGCCTCGCGGATGGATCTGGACTGCCCAATAATGCAACGCTGGACACGTGTGCATGTTGAGCACTCTGGATCTAAACCAGCCTTTAGTTTAAGGTAGTTTTGATGTTAATTTTGAGTTTTTGTTTTATTATTATTATTATTGCTTTTGTTTTAGTCCGAGATTGTAATTATTATTTTTATTTAATTCTAGTATAAATGAAATGTTAATAAGTGTAATATGGATGCAAAATCTGACGTAAATGAAATAAATAAATAGGTCGTTCAAAATTGTCTTCAAGTCCCCCTAAATTTCGTCCTAATCACATAACTGTAACTATACCTGAAAACGTAGAACTTATATCTCAAGTTGGGTGGCGCATTTATGTTGTAGATGTCCATGGGCTCCAGTAACCACTTAACACCAGGTGGGCTGTGAGCTCGTTCACCCATCTAAGCAATAAAAAACATAATTATGGTTACCTGGTCATCATTCATTTCCTCGAAGGGTCTAACGGTACAGTAGGTGAGGACCTCCCAAACAGTAACTCCGAATGACCATACATCGCTGGCTGGAGAGCACATACCCTAAAAAAAGGAATATCGACCATTGAAATCGCGTCACTAGAAAAATAGTCGTTAAAAATTGCGAATGTAAATTGAAATTCACCATCAACAGACATTCCCAGGCCATCCAGCGCAGCGGTATGCGGGTACCATCCGCCATTACGTGGTAGTCGCCAACGAACTCTTCACAGAACATGGCGTAGTCGGAAACTTTAACGTTGAGCTCCTCACTCACTGTTACGTTCCTGTAAAACCGTTTAATATTCATGTTAAGAGTTAATTTTAAGCGTCGTTCCTTAAATAGCTGTATTGATCGATCCGTATCTACATACCGTCTTTTCGCATTAAAAATGTACAATATCCAAAAATATTCAAAATTCAGTTAATATGCGGAATCATTTGGTATCAACAATATATTTCTCATAAATACTGTCAAAAGAGCGTAGTTTAGTTTTACTTTTCTTTTAGTTTATCTATGATTTGACTACTATTAACAAAATTAATACATAATTTTATCTTACTTTAAAAGACAGTTAATGTGACTGGTAAAAAATAAAAAATAAATGTTGCCAAGATGATTAATACTAAAAATATCATATGCTAAAACACTCTCCTGTAAAATTGGTAAGTTTTGAGATTATACAGTTTTAATACGACAAGATGATATGTCGGGATCCAAATCCAGATGGCGGTCACCAAAGACTTCCATTGTGAAGGCATAAAGCATCGTGTAATAAAAAAAGAATCTATATTTGCGTAATTATTGGTGAGAGGGTCGAACATTGTGGGTAGGCGCAGAAAGATGTCACTACCTGCCTACTTTTGTTCGGAAATCCAAGATCATCGTCCATTGTCCGTTTCAATTCAAACGGCGGGGACTGGCATGATATGATACAATTGAGATTTCAACTTCATTGCTCAAGGCAAGTGCAGCAAGCTAATAAAACACGATGTACATGTGTGGTCCTCTGTCAGATTACAGGAAAAAAAAACACACTCTGATAATTTAATATTTATCCCAGTGATCCCGACCAGGTTATTACGTCAAACTGAATAGAATTATTGTGCCAAATGTCCTTGATACGTGTGCAAATTTACAAGTTGATCGTACGACTCGATGTTACTGAAAATTACGTTGCAACTCTACACACATAGATAGATGCATGTGTACATACACATGTATATCTATTATAAGTAAGTCTAATCAATAAAAGCGTCTGGAAAATTAGAATATGACTACACTGTTTAAATACGTAACACACGAAGTATAATTACCGAGCCGCGAGATCCCGGTGTACTAATTCGAATGATTCCAGATACTTCATGCCTGCTGCTATCTGACAGCATATGTGAATCAAACTCGAATAACTGAAAGCGTAACATTTTTTTAATGTTGTGACTTCTAAATGCTGATTCATTATAGGGCTGATGTTATATAGCGCCCAAAACACGTCATTACGGATCCTCCCGATTCATTAACGGTGCTTTTAGGTACCACAAGCACCGGTCACCGTTCTCGTCGAACCCGTCGCTTGCGATGAAGGGCTCGACGAGCGAATTAACCCATAGACACAGCACTGTGTTTCTCGCAGGATCTTCTCAGTGGGTCGCGTTTCCGATCCGGTGGTAGATTCTGCGAAGCACTGCTCTTGCTAAGGCCAGTGTTAGTAACATTCCGGTTTGAGCCCCGTGAGCTCACCTACATGTTAGGGTGAAACTGAAATAGCCTCTCAAGGCTATCAGCATAGGTAGGAAAAAAAAGTTATATAGCAAAAGTATGTTTTCTAAAGGTACAGGTGAGCCCAGTTACTTGTTGTAACAACTGAATCCCAGTCATCCGTATTAGTAGCAATTAATTAATTAATTTTCTAACCTTCCTAATCCTTCTACTAATTTCGATCAAGATTTCCTCATGAAATTCCCAAGGAAGGTCGACTACAGCTGGCAACCGATCGTAAACTGAGACTAAATACTGTGCCGACCGTAATGGCTTATAGACAAATAGACGAGCAAGATTTATATTGTGAAAGACATTATAAATTCTCTACACTCCAGCTAATAGAAAATTACATTAAAAAAAATCAATATCCGCGGGATTTTATATTCCATTAAGACTAATAAAAATCCGGGGCCCACTGAAGACTGTCTGATACGATTTTATAATTACATTACAAATATACGTATAGTGAGGTAGGTACGTTTGTGTAAACTAAATATTTACCTCAACTTCCTGTCCAGTCTCAATATCGTAGGCAGTGGAACGGCATCGCCGCGGTCGAGTGCCGCGCACGGGGGCTCTAAAAGACTCAGGCCTAAAACCCTGGCGAGTTGAGGGTGTTTCAGACCTGCGCCCCACGTAGCTTCGCGGGCAAACGCCGCTCTGTTGATTACGAAACGTCTTATGATCACACTGACATCATTCAAGTATATTTTTTACTGGTGGTAGAACCTCTTATTAGTCCGCTATACCCGCGCGTGTATCTTCCACGGTGAAGAAATAACATCGTGTAACAAAAATCAAACCCGAAAAATTATAATTTGCGTAATTACTGGTGGTAGGACCTTTTGTGAGTCGACGCGGGTAGATACCACCACCCGGCCTATTTCTGCCGTGAGGTAGTAATGCGATTCGGTTTGAAGGGCGGGGCAGCCATTGTAACTATACTTGAGACTTTACAACTTATAACTCAAGGTGGGTGGCGCATTTACGCTGTATGTCTATGGGCTCCAGTAACCACTTAACTCCAGGTAGGCAGTGAGCTCGTCCACCCATCAAAGCAATGAATAAAAAAAATCCAACCAACAAATATTAGCTTTTAATTAATATCATCAGAATCCGTGTCGCGTGTAGCTTGCCGTGAACTGAATTCAGTGTCGGTCGATGTTTAGAAAACTATTGACAAGGAAACTAACTTGATATCGTTATGGCAGCCGCGCCACAGGGTCTTTACAACGACAAGTCGGCGCCTGCCGCCGCTCGGAGATTCTTCGTCGCTCAATTCTTCGATTCCATCCGTCTCGCAGATCTGGAGCTGTGAAATCAACGATATAGCTCAATTGGGTGAAAGCATTTTTATATAAAGGTGGTTGGCGCATTTACGTCGTAGTACTCCAGTAGCCACTTAACACCAGGTGGTCTGTGAGCTCGTCCACCCATCTAAGCAATAAAAAAAAAATTTATATATATATATGTATCTTTGACTTTTTTTAAACAATAACACTTACCACTGATTTGAGTCTCTTTTGTACCAATCTGTTCGGTGGAAGCTAAATCCTTTATTGGAAGTTTGTCGTACCGGGGAAATTTGCAATATGCATTAAAAGATAGAAAAAAGGATGTAACAATTTACATATTTATTCCTCGGCACGCGGGAACTTTCCACGGAAATAGTTCTTAAGCACGTAGTATAGTGAGGGTAGGTAGAGAGCTCTTGTATATTTTTCCCAAGCCTAGTTTGGCCCAGTTTCTTAGTTTATCGAGCGTACAAAATGGCAACGGATTTATAGATCTTGAATAAGTCGGCCCATTACTGACTTTCAGTAAAACTGTTCAAGTTTAAAAGTACATATTGCTTTAACTAGTCGTTATTTTGAAATATTATATATTTATTTAAAAATGTATTCGTCTTTAAGTGATCTAATTTTAATTAAAAGTGTTCTAAGTTTTACAATATCATTGTAGTTTATCATTTTAACGTAAAAAAAATGGACGTAAAAATGTTAATGGAATAAAATTTGCCCGGGAACCAAACAGTAAACTCTCAAAGGTAATTATTGCAAAGGAAGAGCTTTAATGTATTCAAGTGCTTGTAAACCTTAAACGACGCAATCGGCCTAACCCCTGGCCTACAACCGCTACTTAGAGATCAAGAGTCGTGGTATTATGTACTTTTCAAACAGTCGGAAACGTTAACATATTTTCTTAACGAATTTAATTAATTGCAACTGGACACAGTCACTCCTAAACAAATCATTGATTATCTAGAACCTATAAAACCTTATACCCCTAAATTTCGGTTTTCTTTTTATTGCTTAGATGGGTGGACGAGCTCACAGCCCACCTGGTGTTAAGTGGTTACTGGAGCCCATAGACATCTATGACGTAAATGCGCCACCAACTTGAGATATAAGTTCTAAGGTCTCAAGCATAGTTAAAACGGCTGTCCCACCATTCAAACCGAAACGCATTACTGCTTCACGGTAGAAATAGGCAGGGTGGTGGTACCTACCCGTGCGGACTTACAAGAGGTCCTACCACTAGTAAAATGCGAACTCGTTTTTCAATGATTATTTTACGACCAAAGCCATTCGTGAATACATTTTAGGTAATTCTTTATTATAAATTCCTATACACGAGATTGGAATGCCGACATGGTCAACGCATCATTTGATACCAGTACACTTCGCGCATTCTCCTCGTTATTACGACTTTTTATTTTTAATAAAGCGTAAAAGCAAACATAACCCACTGGCCACTGCTTTTAAGGCGAGTTTCAGACAAAAGACATGTCTGAACTCATTGATGCCACAAAATGTGTACACTTCCAACAACCGATGTCTAAGTTAAAAAAAAAAAAAAAATTACCATTGAATGTTCATGTTATGTGAAATCATAGTACAATTTAAGTAATTGGTGAAATGGCAATGTGTAGGAAAACTACGTGGTTGTGGAAGAAATAATGATACGTTTTTAGGATCACAATATAACTCGCATTTATTGGTAGAAAAGTATAATATTACATAGAATGTCAGCTTGACAAGTAGTACAGAGTATAGCACCCCAGGCGTAAGACAAAGGGAAACTAAAATGGCTGCATTCCATTTCTCTAACACCCTCCCTTGGAATGCAACCCCATTTTCGTTAAACAATACAAATGTTTATCAACACTAGTACCCTTAGTTAAATTATCAGCTACCATTTCCTCACCCTTTATATAACAATACTTTATATCTAAGTTACTGACATGGTCTTTGAGAAAATGATAACGAATATCAATATGTTTTGATCTGGGTAAATAACAATAATTATTTGATAATTTTATAGCACTCTGATTATCACAAAAGATGATGAGAGGGTTGTTCTTCTGTTGACCGAGCTCGGTATGTAATTGTTGAAGCCACAACGCTTCCTGCGCCGCTGACGACATCGACATATACTCGGCTTCAGCAGTGGAGAGAGCGACAGTCTGTTGCTTTTGAGAGCGCCAAGATATAGCACCATCCTGTAACATAAATACGTAACCAGTGGACGACTTACGATCACGTACATCGCTCGCCCAGTCGGCATCACAATATCCTGTGATGTTCTCATTACCATCTTTGGTATAAACTAATTTCAAATCTTTTGTACCCTGCAAATATCTAAAAATTCTTTTCACAGCTGTCCAATGTGCAGCAGTATAATCCTTGTTGAATCTGCTCATTGTATTTACTGCAAATGATATATCCGGCCGGGTACCTTGAGCCAAATACAACAAAGAGCCAATTGCCTGTTGATATGGACAGTCAATCAATCCATCCTCTTCCTTCTTCTCATTGAATTTCATACCAACTTCAAAAGGTGATCTTACAGGTTTACAGTCAGACATTCTGAACCTTGCTAACATCTCTTTTATATATTTTTCTTGATCTATCATTACTTTACCTCCATCTCTGGTAATCCGCAAACCTAAGCAATAGCTTGTCGAACCAATATCCTTCATTTCAAAGTGTTCCTTTAACTTTTCTTTCAACAAATTTTTTGTTTTCTTTTGAGAAGTCAACAAAATTAAATCATCGACCCAGATAGCTATAAATGTGTTTTTCTCTACATTATAATAGATACAAGGATCTGTTCTTGATTGTTGCATACCTAACTCATGTAGTACACAATTTAATTTCAGGTTCCACAGTCTACTGGCCTGTTTAAGACCATAAATAGATTTATGTAACTTACATACCTTAGACCCTTGCTTATACTGTTCTGGCTGCACCATATAGATCTCAGTATCAATTTCTCCTTGTAGAAAGGCCGATACAGCATCCATTTGATCTATATCCAATCCATATTTAGCCGTTAAAGCAAATAAGTAGCGAATAGTTGTGTACCTGACAACTGGAGAGTATGTTTCCTCATAATCGGTGCCCTTTCTTTGAGCATAGCCTTTTATTACAAGTCTTGCCTTGTAACGGGTGACATTTCCATTTTGGTCTGTTTTAATTTTGAATACCCACTTGCATGGGAGAGCCTTTTTACCTGGAGGAAGTTCTGTCAATGACCAAGTTTTATTTTTCATAAGGGAACTATATTCTTCATCCATGGCTCTCTTCCATTCTGCAGCTTGTGAAGATGTCAGTACCTCCTCAACTGTTTGTGGATCAGTCAAATCTGAATACAAACACAATAGGCTCGTTTTGCCATCCTGTGTATCACATTGTTTATTTCGTTGCCTTAATGTTATACTACTACTATAGTCTTGTCTTATCGGATAAGGCGGGTGATAAGTGGCATCTAGTTCCCCAGTGTCAGTGTCATACTCACTTGAGTCTTCACTATCACCTTTTCGTATATTTGAGTCTTTACTAGACATTAAAGGTGCAGTTGCAGATGACTCCTGAGTGTGTATCTCTTGTTCCCGGTTGACACTGGAATTCCCTGAGTCCTCATTTTCTGAAGGAACAGAACTGACCGTGACTGTGCGATTATCCTCAATTGGAATAGAAGTTTCCACATTTTCAATAAAAATAACATCTCTGCTTTTGATTATTTTAAGTGTTTTAGGGTCCATTAAACGATATCCTTTGGAACTGTCGCAATAACCCATAAATATCATTTTTACTGATTTTTTATCCCATTTATGGCGTTTTTCCTTTGGCACATGGACCATAGCTTCAGAGCCAAATATTTTTAGATGTGATAAGTTAGGTTTCTTACCTTTCCACAATTCATATGGAGTTTTACCTTCTAATGACTTTGTCGGGGAACGATTCACAACATAAGCAGCAGTTGCTACTGCTTCAGCCCAGAATTTCTTTTCTAGGTTAGCATAAAATAACATGCATCTTGCGCGTTCAACTAAAGTCCTGTTCATTCTCTCGGCCAGGCCGTTCTGCTGTGGAGTATACGGAGTAGAGGTCTGATGAATTATACCATGATTAGATAGGTATTTTTCAAAATTATAGTTGCAGTATTCTTTGCCATTATCTGTGCGAAGCCTTTTAATTTTATAATTTAATTCATTCTCTACTTTCAGTTTAAAATCCTTAAAAATCTCTAATATTTTCAACTTGTCTTTAAGAAAATAGACATGAACCATTCGTGTGAAATCATCAGTGAAAGTAATGAAGTATTTCATACCTCCAAATGAAATGTTCTCCATAGGACCACACAAGTCAGAATGGATTAATTCTAGAGGTCTCGTAGCTCTTGTTCCAGTATTTTTAAAAGGTAACCTAGCTTGCTTACCTTCCATACAATGTGTGCAAGTGACATCATTTACATCTGGAATCAGAGTCACTCCCTCAGAGCATGTAGGTAGCTTCTTTACATCAGACATATTCAAATGACCCATCCGCAGGTGCCACAGGTAAGTATTATTGCTATTCTTATTTCTTGAGACCAAGTGGGCCACTTCCTTACAGGTCTCTAATACATACAAACTATTCTTCAGCTTTGCAGAGCATATTACTTCACCTTTACTATTTCCAACTTCACATCCTTTGTCATTAAATGTGACCTTATGTCCATTTTTCACAATAGCTCCAACTGAGAGAAGATTAGTAGCCAGCCCGGGTACAAATAAAACATTTTTAACTTGTATTTTATTTTCTTGACTTAGCTGAATGTTCACACAGCCAACTCCATTCACAGCTAAGGGTTCTCTGTTAGCCACAGTGATGTTTTTTACAGATGATTCAGTGACATTATACATCCAATCAATTCTGCTTGTCATATGCATGGATGCACCAGAGTCAATGTACCATTCATCATTTACATTTTTGCTGACTGTAGCTGAAAAAGCTGCCACAAAACTAGTACTTTCTCCTTTATTTG